ATATTAAAATTTCTAACAACACATTACTTTATTCTTATACTAGGCTGACATACAACAAAATTACCATATATAGTAATTAAGAAAATAATAGAATATTATAATATTCACCTACCTTCCCGACAGGGTCAAAGTCAAGGACTGGTAAGAAGTCCCTTCAGTTAAATGATCCAATTTCATGTTCAGTCTTCTCTTAAGTTTTAATAGTTCAGTTTAATACCTTTTAACTTTTTATTAAGAAAAAAAATAATTTTAACCCCTAAAATTTAATAATTCAATTCAACACATATTTTTCAACGTTGATTTTAATCAAAATTCTTATCAAACACTAAAAAATCTCGTAAATCATTATTACGAGGGTAAAGTGCACAAAAAGTTTAATAGTTGGAGAATTCAACAAAACAACACCATATAATCAGATGATCATTTTATAATTTTCATATTCGATAGATTCAACAAAGTATCACCTTATAGTCGGGAGACCATTTATATATTTATTAAAAAAATAAATTTTGTTCCAAAAAGTTTATTACGATGTCTAAACTTAAATATTAAATAAACTTAAAACATTTAAATTTATAAAAAATAAATTAAATATCCGAATTGGATCACTATATTATTATTTTTATAATAAATAAACAACTACAGTATAAAAAAAATCAAAATCAGGGAACAATAAATCCATACGCTATAAACTCATCAACTGAGTTGTAGTGATCATCTGCATGGCATATTGGCATGTGATTGAGGTGTGAGATACGTCACTAACAATACATTAAAAACATAAATTATGTAATGTAAGAATGGCCGAACCTCACGCCGGCTATGTTTGTCTTCTTGTTCCCCTCTTTAATCTCAACCCCCCCCCCCCTTTTAACCTTTTCTTCTTTAAATATTCAATGTTTTCTTAAAGTTAAACCAACAAACATACAAACAAAAAGGTAAAACAAAGAAGAAAACTGGTTTTTCAAAGATGAAATTTGTTCCATTTTGGCTCCCATGAGGCTTTCTTTTCACTGTCACTGTCACTTCTCAAAGTTTCATTTTTTGTTCTTTACATTTCACCCCATTAGTTTCCATAAAATTCTTGCCGGCAATTTCTTCTTTCTTTCTTTGTTTCGTTTCTAATCTGTAAGAAAACTCAGTCCCCAAAACAACAATGGGGTTTCTCTGGTTTTTTCTCTTTTCTTTCACCTTATCACTCTCGAACTCCACCCCAGATTCTACTGTTCTGCTCAGCTTCAAAAACTCCTTTGATGACCCTTTAAACATTTTGTCCACTTGGAACTCATCTTCATCTCACTGCTCATGGTACGGTGTTAAATGTGCTAACTTTTCTGATAAAGTCACTTTTTGTCGCTTCCTTACAGTGGGTTTTCCGGTGAGATCCCCGCCGTTATTGGAGACCTTAAGTTTTTGGAGGTTCTCCAGCTCCAAGCTAACAATTTTTCCGGCCAGATTCCGGTTCAGATAAGCTCTCTTCCTTCTCTTACAGTGCTCAACTTGTCTTTCAACTCGTTTTCCGGGTATATACCAGTTAAGCTCATTGGTACTGGAGGCTTGAAAGTTATTGACTTGTCTAATAATCTACTTTCTGGTAGGATTAGTGTTGATAATTCTAGAGGATGTGAGTTTTTGACTCACTTGAGGTTGTCTAATAACTTTCTTAGTGGTAATATTCCCCCTGAGATTGGTAATTGCAAGAATTTGAGGACTTTGTTGCTTGATTACAACCTTTTACAAGGCAAGATTCCGGCTGAAATAGGCCGAATTTCCGAGCTTCGGGTTTTAGATGTTTCTATGAACAGTCTCACTGATGTGATCCCAAATGAGATAGCAAATTGTAAGAAACTATCAGCTCTAGTGTTAACCAATTTGATGGATTTTGGTTCTGATGGGAAAACAAGCTCCATGGATAGTTTTCGAGGAGAATTCAATGTGTTCGATCTCGGTGTTCCGGTTGAACTGTTTTTCCATTCTAGTTTGCAGGTTTTGTGGGCGCCGAGAGCCAATCTTCGTGGCCGGTTGCCTGCTCGATGGAGTGAGGTTTGCTCACTCAGGGTCCTAAATTTGGGGCAGAATTATATTGATGGTGTGATACCAGAAAACATTGTGATGTGCAAGAACCTTACTTTCTTGGATTTGAGTTCGAATAATTTGTCCGGATACCTTCCATGGCAGCTACATGTTCCTTGTATGACATACTTCAACATTAGTAGAAACAATATTTCTGGTAACATTCAAACTTACAACAGGAAAGGCAGCTGTGACGGGACCGTGATCTCTTATGGACTAGCTTCTAGTTCCGTTGATATGGACCATACATGGGTTGAATTCACATATGCTAATCTTCCTTTCCGGGGTTCGAAGATGGGGTTTATGATAGATGAGAGTTTTGCAATAGTCCATGATCTTAGCTGGAATTGTTTCACTGGTTCGGTTCCAGTGTTCTTCGTAGCAGATCAGTTATTGGAAAGCAACAATACATTTTCATACAGGTTGCTACTGAATAATAACATGTTTAATGGTTCGTCTGGTCGGGAGCTAATATCTGATTGTGGTAAGCTGCAGAGTGTCTCGGTTAATTTGAGTGACAACAATATAGTAGGTGGGATGGGGAAGGTCTTTCTCCTTGATTGTCTACAGCTAATAGAGTTTGAAGCTGCATATAATCGGATTGAGGGATCCATAGATCCTGGTATAGGCAACTTGACGACACTTGAACGGCTTGATTTTAGAGGAAATAGACTCTCTGGATCTTTGCCGAATCTGTTGGGAAAGTTAAAGAAACTGAGATGGATATCTCTTGGAGAGAACAATTTAAGTGGAGAAATTCCACCTGAACTTGGTCAATTGGCGTCGCTTAAGGTTCTCGATCTTTCCCACAATGCTCTTACAGGATTTATACCTGCTACCCTAGCAAATGCTTCGAATCTTGAAACAGTTTTACTAGGCCACAACCGGCTTTATGGGGAAATACCCTCATCTTTATCTTTGCTTTCTCATCTGACTGTTTTGGACCTTTCGTTTAATGATCTTTCCGGTCCAATACCAAGTCTCCAACATCAGACTAATTGCAGTGCCTATAGAGGTAATGAACGTTTGTACAACAAATGTCCATTTTCTGGACTGTCCTCGGAGGTGCCTAGCTATCCTCCACCTAAATATCAGAAAGAGAGGATCTTGAAGCCCGTCATAATTGCAACTGTAACTTCAGCTTCTGTTCTTCTATGTATGGGTGTAATCATCTGTCAACTTAGAAGAAAAAGGGTCAGAAGACTTGGTACACTGAGAGGAAAAGTGGTTGTGACTTTTGCAGATGCTCCTAAAGAGCTGAATTATGATAATGTAGTTAGAGCTACCGGTAACTTTAGCCTCGGAAACCTTATTGGTACTGGTGGATTTGGTTCAACCTACAAAGCAGAGTTGGTCCCTGGCTGTCATGTAGCTGTAAAGAGGCTTTATATTGGTCGGTTTCAAGGTATCCAGCAATTTGATGCAGAGATAAGAACTCTGGGAAGAATTCGACATAAGAACCTTGTAACTCTAATGGGATATTATGCTGGGGAAAATGAAATGTTTTTAATTTACAATTATCTTTCTGGTGGAAATCTTGAGACTTTCATTCATGACAAGTCCGGCGAAAATGAACAGTGGCCAGTTATCTACAAGATAACCGTGGGCATAGCTCAGGCTCTTGCTTATCTCCATTATTCATGTGTACCCCGGATAGTTCATCGAGACATCAAGCCAAGCAACATTCTACTTGATGAGAATCTTAATGCCTTCCTTTCGGACTTTGGGTTAGCTAGGCTTTTAGAAGTTTCCGAGACCCATGCCACCACAGATGTTGCAGGCACATTCGGTTATGTAGCACCAGAATATGCAACCACATGCAGGGTGTCCGACAAAGCAGATGTGTACAGTTTTGGTGTCGTAATATTAGAATTGCTGTCGGGGAAGAAGTCCCTCGATCCATCATTTTCTGATTACGGGAATGGATTCAACATTGTTGAATGGACTAAGATGCTGATCAAGGAGGGCCGTCCTTCAGCTGTTTTCTCTGCTGAATTGTGGGAAACTGGACCTAGGGAGAATCTCGTGGGGATGCTACGGCTTGCATACGCCTCGACAGCGGAGACACTTTTGGTTAGGCCATCAATGAAGCAAGTTCTTGAAAAATTGAAGCAACTGAAAACCTGAAAAAGAGAAGCTGTCGTACAATGGCGACAGGAAACACAGTAGCTTTTGTCCACAAATCCTTCAACTTCCGCATGTTGGAATGAGGTAATGCAAAATCAGAAGTCTTGATAATGCAAATTCTGCAATTTCCAGTATTGTGGCATGCCAAGGATTGAAGTGTTAAATGATTAAGCACATTTTTAGGAAGGGAAAATGAGAAAATTATCAATTTCATTTTGCATAACATGTCCATTATATACTATTTCTTTTTACCTGTGATAAGAGAAGGAAAAGATCTTCCATTTTGGGAGTAAAAAGCTTTCATGAATTGATATGTTTATCTGCTTCTTGCAGAACTGGTTTGCAGACTGTTGTCGAGAGATAGCAACCGGCCAACCGCCGTAGCACACACACGAAAACATGAAATCAACATCGCAGGCGTGCAAATAGAAAAAAATGACGACTTGGCTTATCACTAGAAATTTGATACAAAGTGCATAGATGATTGGTTGATTGACGGTTATAGGAGCATATGACATGCAACTCTTTATTGTACATATTTTAATGCAAATTCCTTGTGGCATTTCTATGTTTGTATTTGCTGGTACTACATCAGGCCCATGGCAAAGTTCACAAGCTATAAATACTAAACTGTTATAAGTCTAAATCCATGACATCATATATCACATTATTCAACTAACATAGAGGGAAGCATTTTGCAATCAGAGCCTCCAACATTATTGGATATAGACAGTCGATAAGATCAAAAGAGTAAAATATGTAAAAAGGAAAAAAGAAGAAAAAAAGGTCCCAAACTGTGATATGAAACCTTCCCAAATGAGTTCAGTTGGCTCTTTGTATAGTATAGGTGTATGTACAGAAGTCTATCTCATAGTCTTGAAACCTAGAAGTCTCTTCTACAATTCCTCTATATATAATTATAAAAATGAACCTCCCATCGAATGAGGTATTCATTCAGCATACCTCCAAATTATATCCTAGCGGCTCATAACCGATAAGGCTTTCCAGTCATCGGAAACAAATTAAAGGACCTCTTCAGTTATCCCATGACCTTAAATATGGTTTTCCCATTGGATCATGCAAAGCAGAATTTGGATGTGGCAAGTTCATCCATACTGGATCATCAGCAGCCATCAGCGGGGTAGTTGTATCACGAGTACCTAAATAATCAAATGGATGAGCAGCTTGCTGCATACCATTTCCAATTAGTCCAGGAGTTACACCCCTCATCATTCCATTGTTCCTCTGTGGGATGAACTGCTCGGTAGAGCCCATTGATTCATAAGGGCTGCTTGAATGAAATTGGTTACAGTGAGATAGAACACTAAATAGGCTCTGATCTGCATTGCTTGCACTCAACATACTCTGACTTTGGCCACTAAAACCATCTGAACCAGCCCATTCACCACGAACTTGATGCTCTCCGGTAAACCAGCTTTGACTCAACAAATCTCTATTATTCAACTGATGTTGGAAAGGTGCCGGCATGCGGGCAGGAGGCACAGCCCAATCTTGCAAATTTCCCGAAGGCAGGTGTTCTTGACTTGGGGTCATGTATCTACCTCCATCGGAGTAAATATTATGTGGCATGTTTTGTTGCATATAAACCTCATTCTGCCCCTTTTGCTTCTCTTCTAACAGCAAAGATGATTGCAACTGCTCCTGAAATTGCCCATTAAAACGACCATCGTCCATCAACAGATTATTTGGGGGCTGGAAATCTGGCCCTGCCTGTTTCTGCTCGCTATGATATGACGACACTCCCTGATCCTTGAAGAAAGATTGAAGCAGCTCATTTCGGTCCTGATTTGTATAAGAATTAAAGGGAACATCCTCAGAATGTCTATGCAACAAAGCCTTACTGGTACTCTCTTTATGCAAGTCTGATTCCAGAGCAATCATTTGGTTCTGTTGGTCTTCGGTGTCTTGATGAATGAATGAAAATCCACTGGTAGATGTGTATTTATGGTCAGCAGTGGAGTCATTGTAAGAGTGTGGAATGCTATTTGCTGGCCAGACAATTTCTGAAGAAGAGACGGGAACATCCTGACCAACAGTTGCACCAGCAGTGTTCAAATTGTCTGAGTGTTCAGATACATCTGAAGATGCAACATCTGATTTTGCGATATTCTCATTATTTTCAGACTCCTCCATGTGATTGCACAGCTGGCCATGATCAATAAAAGAAATTCTCTGTGGGGATTGATTTGGTGCTAAGGCCAGAACAGACTCCCCATCTTCCATGCTGGACTCACTTTCTGTGGCTTCAGTATCCTTCTCATCTTCATGCGACTTCTCAGGATCCTCTTCCTCTACATCTAGAGCAACCAAGTTTACATCAGCATTGTCTTCCCGATCCTGAAGCTTTAATGTGTCTTCATCTTTATCCTCCTCATCCTAACACACCCAAAAAATAAAATTATAGTATCATAGAAAATGTTCAAAGCTGCTGACAACCACACCCCAGAAAAAAAACTCAACATATACTAGGGGAGAGAGTTAAAGAAGGAAATAAACCTCCAGCAGCGAATTTAGATTTTCTTTCATCTCCTGCTCCAACGACTTGGTTATTTTCCATTTCTGTGACTGTATTTCTCTCCAGGTTGCATATGACGCAGGGAGATCTTCTTTTACCAGTTTCAACCTATTTAAACAACATTAGTTTGTGCATAGGTATAGTGAAAATTCTAATAGTTTCAAGAAAGAATTGTTCGTTTCAGCACTCACCAATGTTCATGCAACCTCCTCTGTTCTTCTTCTAAGAATACTTCATATGGTTGCACATGTAAGGTATCAATGTCACCTAAAACACAGGTGAGAGACTTGGATTGAATGCTTCTACCAGACTGATCCATATTCTTTAAAAGATCATGCTGCTTCTTGCTTATCTGAAACATATCAAAGACAATTAATACCTTAAGTATCTTCAGCACAAGAGAGAATGCTGAACGGTAATAGACATTGAAGAAATACTTGGTTAAAGAATATAACAGAAGGAAAAGATACAAGAATCACAGGTATGATATAATCATTATTCATGCCTCATGGTATAATGGTGATAACCGGAGTTTATAAAGGTTGTAAAGTGACAAGATAATCAAGCAGTGGCAAAATCATATCTCAGTAGGAAAAATAATGTTAGGAATCTGGTAAGTGATTCAGCTCATGAAAACGGATAAAAGGAAGCTTACTTCCATGCTTCAGTCAGCCAATCCAAAGTTTAAATAATAATTAATCATATATCAGAAAGGGTAATTCTAATTCAAGGAGATACTTGGTCAAGATAAAGGCACCTACTCAATATGGTCCAGGAATTTATAATTTTATACCAATTAAAGCAACAACTGACCTTAAAACATGACATATATTTAGCACCATCACACTGCTGAATATTGCGTCTGCGTATCTTGTCACATTTTTTGGGTCTTGCTTCCACAGTCAATGCATAATCAGGAGCAGTCGAGAGCATTTGACCTTTATTCTTGATCATCCCTTTCTCGTACATACTAATATCCATGAAAACTAATAAGATTCATTCACCATGAAATAAAAATAGAGTAAAACTTAAAGAAACTACAAACTAGTGTGGCCACAACAACAAATTCCCACCAGGAGACCTAAATTCTGCAAAAGTTCCTTAAACAGTCATGGTTCATAATTTCTTGTTCAGCAAATACGAAAAGATTGAAAATCACCTAGAAACCAAAAAAAAACGGTAAGAATAAAGCACATAATCATCCTAAGAGCTGAAAATAGCATTACAAGCTGAGAAACTTCAACGTGGACATCTGCAAAAGTTCTTGTATAGAATATATATAGTTCAAACCTTGTAAGCAGCAAAGCATAGAGTTTTTCCTTTGGTAGGCACACAATTTACAGATAAGTAATAATGAGCAAAAGCTATGCACTACAAAGTGGCCAATGATAAAAATAACTTTATAAGAGAATAAACAAGCTACAATTTCTTAACTTGGAATCCAAAAATATCACATTCGTCTAAATAAATCACTCTCATATCCTTTTGCTGTTAAAAAAGAACTTGTGAAAGAACTACAGAATATGAATTACTAAACTCAGGCAACTCTAAGAAAGCCATATTCAAACTCTCATTCTTGTTAATTTTAACAGTCAAGCAAAATGATAATACTAGCAACACGGTGGCTCATGACGGAAAAAAGACATTACCTTCCTCGTATCTTTCCAACCTTCACAACAGAAGAATTCTGGTTATCACTACTGCATGCTTTCTCATCTGCAACCCAAGAACAAGATTCAGAAGTCGCTGTAACATCCTGCTCAACAGTCTCAAGCCTGGGCTCATTTGTATGAGAGAAAACCTTTTTTTTACCAACCCTTTTTGACCTACCAAAGAAATTGATTGTAACCCAAAAATGAGGCTTCCTCTTACCACATAAAAGAAACTAAATGTTCAATAAAAACTGAAGAAAAAAGGTTCAGTTCTTCATTTTTGTTTTGAACAACCAATTACAAGGGTGAAGCTCAAATAGGGAACCGGTGTATTGTATTCCATGTTATGATGTTATGCAGTGAAGCTAGTAAACAAATTATGGGACATCCTTGCCAAATATATGTTAGCTGTTAGCACCAATTTCACAGGGAAGAACCTTCCTCTGCTAAAACTGGTCACTTTCCAGAAAACTGAACGTGTAACAGATACAAACCTCCATAACTTCTGCAAAATTTCTTTTTCTGGGTCTTTGGAGCTTTCCCATTTCTCCTTCAGTTTCTGCAAATACTCTATCATACTGCCACAAAGGAAAAAAAATGGCATGACCGTATTATTAGGCACCAAATGCACATTTTTGAAGAACAGATCATATGCATGGGTAAATTTTGTTACTTTTCACATACTCATTGTGGTATTCCTGTAACTCTGAGTAGTATGATTTATTCTCAGCCTTTAAACGTTGTTCCTCTTGAATAACTGTATCAGGGTGAAGATGACCCAAACAAAGTGATGTGCCCCTGTAAGCATAAATTCCAGTCAAATCTAGCAGACTCAGCCTACAATAGAGTCCTCAAATATCATATATCTTGAAAACAGAACCAGATAAACAAAATAGAAAATAACCCAAGAAATATTTTCTTTATAATAAAGAACAACAAGTCACAAAATTTAAGTGTGGTTTAATGGGTAAACATATTTGCCAATGAGTGGTTAATGGGAACAACAAGAAGAAAGGATGCATTATCCAGCCTGCAAGGTGAGAAAAATGTCAAAGGTACATATACACTTACCATTTAAGAAAATGATTTCCAAAGTGAAAGTTATCTCCAGAAAATAATGCTTGCAGGACCCGCTCTTTGTCTATCCCACTGGGAAGAAACTGCATCAGAAAATTCCTCTCATTTTCAGACAAATGAGTCTGCCAAACCTGTAACAATTTCAATGTAAATTCCTAAAAGGCACTAGATTAACATACATGGGAGACTAGAAGTAATTTCGATAATGAATAACAAGAATATTACCTCATAAGAAAGCACCTCTGTCAAGTCCTCTAATTCAAAAATTTCAGGACAAAGAGTCAAAACATCTGCCAAGACCCTATGACAATGTGTTGTGGACTCAGTAAATGACCTTAAATGCCTCTGACTTAAGCCAATTTGTTCCCTTTTGGCAACAACTTTTTTTTTGTTCCCATCCCACTCAAGGGAAATACAACATTTTGTGTTCGAATCATTTCTCGAAGGCTCTAGCTTTAGCTTTTTCTTTTTGGTTTTGCATTGGTCCAAAGAATTGCAGCCAGTAATACTAGCACCATGCAGCCGCTTTCTCCGCTGATCAGCTGCCATTGCTATCAGATGTCAAAACAACCGGCAACCAACATTTTCCTGCATGTGCAAGCAGAAAACCAGTATCAAATTGTATACCACAGAGAAAAACCAATGAACCATTAAAATTAAAAGCAGTAACCTTTGAATAAGAACAGATCATAAGACCTTTTAACTAGACCTTTTAAATGCGTATATACACATGGGCAGAGCCACCAAGGGGAGCTGACACCACACTTTTTTTGGAAAAGAAAAATCCTTTATTAAAATCTATATTAAAAAAATTAAAAACAATATTGACACCACTCTGAAAATAGTTCACACTCTAATCTAATTTTTATCAGAAACAAATCAAATTTGGTTTCGGCTTTGGGAAATAAGGGACCCCGGTTGCTTTCAACCAATATATAATATGCCAGAAAAGGAGCTTCACAATCATAGCAGAAGGCGCATCAAATCAAATAATCTGAAGAAGATAACCTGTTTCTTTCGAATTAACTAAAATAAGCAAACAGATTATACTTTTTTTCTTTTTGTCATGCTAGTCGAGACACAAGCCAAACAAAGTCATATGAAGTACAGCAACAAAGATAACAAAGTTGAAAATTTAACATTTACACTATGTATATTTATTCAACTCAATATTTGTAATTGGATTTAACACAGCATTCAGTAAGCAGCTCATAGAAACTCTATCCACACACAAAAAACTAACAATTGCAACACGGGCCCAAAAAAATATACCTTTTTATAATTGAAGCAAATACACTTGAAAATTAAAATAAAGTAACAATCATCGAACAAAAAACTAGCCCCGAATCAGAAACAAAGGAAAACAAGCAAACAACAGAGAAGCATTGAAAATCCATAAACGAAGCAAGGAAAGACAAACAAAAAAAGTAGACTTCAAGATATATTGAAATAAAGGAACCCCTTCAAACAAATAAAAAACCAATCCCGAATAAGAAAAGACAAAGAGCCCAGAAAATATTTCTTTTCAAAAAAGCAAAAAAAAAGTACCTTGAAGCAAGGGGGAGCAGTGGATTGAAGAAAAGGGGAAAAGGGTTGTGAGTTAATTGGTATTGGAAGGGATGGCGAGAGAGAGAGAGAGAGACAAAAAAAGAAAAGGGTTTGTGTTAAGTTATCCAATAAAACTAAGAGAAACACACACCAAGACTAGAGAAATAGATAGAGAGAAGGGTGGAATAGAATTACAATGGGGAAAGAGAGAGAGAGGTGGGGACGGGTACGGTTTTTCGGAACCGTTATGTGAAGGCATTGAATCGTTCATTCTCGCTTAAGGGGCTCGGCTCTTGCCCTCTCTCCATTCTCCATCAGATTTGATATTTTCCCCATGATCCAAATTCAAAATCTAATTTTGATTTAATTTGATTACAAATAATTTTTTTAATAATAATGTTAATTGAATTAAAATTTAATTTACTTAAAACTAAGAAATGAGAAAGAAAGAAATATTAATATAAAAATCTATTAATTAATTGAGTACTTAAAAATATTTATATTATCTCAATTTGTATGAGTTTAAATCTTAACATTAGTTTTAAAAATATAATATCTCTATTTAATAAAAAAAATGTTAATATGTATTTGTGTATGTAATTGATCAATAATTATGTCTCGGTTACTTAGCCTAGCAAAAGGGGAGGGGTTGATTGTAAATAACAAAAAAGTCATCGGATCCCGTGGACTTCTGCTTCTCAAAGTAAACGTTTATTAATATATTAGGACAAACTATGTATTTAGTCATCTAAATATTTCTGAAGTTTCATTTCAGTCATTCAATGTTTTTTAAATCATACCTAAAGTTATGCTTTTATTCTGTTTTGGTCATCCACCTTTTAAATTATAATGATGATGTTAACATGTACCATAAGATAATATCACATCATCCTTAAAAAAACTACTACGTCAGTAGTTCTATTTTTTTTTAAAGGATGACCAAAATGGAATAAAAATGTAATTTTATGTGTGATTTAAAAAATAGTTAAATGACCAAAACAGAGTCACAAGAATAGTTAGATGGCTAAATAAGAGTTTATCCTACTTTTATACGGTTTGATGCAGGAACAAATGGTTAAATCTGGGCCACAAGTGTGTGACCATCACAGAAGGCTGGGCAAAAATAAACTGGTTAAACACTCAAACCCGAGTGGCAGATAATTCCTGTGTGTTTCTGGGAAGATAATGGCAACAAAGATAATATCCCCACATCCACACCCTCTCTACTCTTTCCCTTTCCCTTCCAAATTCAGCACCAACCACCCATGGGCACCACGAGTTTCAACCCCTCCCCACAGACACCATGTGGCTGCTCGACTCTCCTTGCACCAAACCATCGTCTCAACTTCTGCTCTTACGGACAATCTTCAACATTACATACAAAACGCAGATTCCATGTTTTTTCTTGCAGACACTGCGGGTTATTCCTTGTCTAGCTACTACACTTCTCTTGGTCTCTTTGTCATCTCTGTTCCTGGACTTTGGTCCCTCATCAAACGCTCTGTAAAATCAAGGTACCTTGAATTGGCACAAGTTTCTGTTTGTTTATTGGCTGAGTTTTTTGTTGAGCAGTTGCTGGTTTCAGATAGTGCAGAAGACATTCATAGGGGAAGGAGCTGAGGAGAAGGCACCAAATCAAGTTGCTGCAGAAATTTTATCTTTCTTCACTCGAAACAATTTTGCGGTCACCGATAGGGGAGAGACTATCACGTAAGTTTTACCTGTTAACACCGTTATGAGAGGCGGACATAATTTTATACTAGAGGGAACTTATAGAATCTTATGCAGTCTGATGATATAAAATACAAAAATAATAATAAAAAAAAAAAATTCGGAGAAACGTTGATTGACAACTCTCCCTCGTCTATCCCTGCCACTGATTCATCTTTTTTGGGGGATAAAAGAGAATTTTTTTATGAAGCAATCAACAAGCTTTTGATTTTTTCAAGGTTCGAGGGAATGATGGTTCCAAGCCGAGGACAAGCAGCATTGTTGACATTTTGCACCTGCATCAGCCTTGCAAGCGTTGCCCTTGTGCTCACCATTACATTTCCAGATGTGGGGAATAACTGGTTCTGGATCACTGTTCTAAGTCCACTGGCGTAAGCACAAATGATTACCCTGCAGTTCTTTTTTTTTTTGGGGGGGGGGGGTAATTTTTGTTGGAATTGTAGTTTGAAGTTAATACTACTATCTTATCATGGATGGAATGAATGTAGAGGAGCTTATTACTGGAAGAGGGCATCAAGGAAGGAGCAGATCAAAGTTAAAATGCTCATTGCCGATGATGGGACTTTGTCTGAGGTTGTCGTTCAAGGAGATGATCAGCAAGTAGATCAAATGAGAAAGGAACTCAAGCTTAGCGAGAAAGGCATGGTCTACGTGAAGGGCTTATTCGAGAAATGACAATAGATATGCACTCCTGCCTATATGTATGCTTTAGGCCTTATGGGAATAGACTTTAGTCATCTGTGTTTTTCCTGCCCTGCAAATTTTGTTTTATGTTGTCTACTGCAAAGTTTAATGCTGGAAATGTTCAAGAACACAGTGGAGCACCATTATTTTACACTGAGAAACCAAAATAATTATATATGGAACAGCATCCTTTTATAGTGAATAATCAAAGTCTAAAGAGTATCGATATTTGATTCTCCGGAAAATCCGAGAAAATTATTCAAAGTTCAGAGCAATATCAACTGGCGGCAGTTGCAATGATCCCAGTTACAAAAACTACACTAATGCCATGAAAGTCCAGGGCAGCAGAAGCAAAAATCTGCAGCAAACCTTCGGCATTGTCTAATAAAATAAAAAAACTTGTTGAGAACTCAAAAGACCATAAAATGCTATTCTCAACCGATCAGCAACTTGTTCTCCTCAAAGAAACTGTAGGTGGGCACTTCCAGGTTGTAGGGTGCTGGACCCTTGCGAATCCTGCCAGAGACATCATAATGAGAACCATGGCAAGGGCAGAACCATCCACCATAATCACCAGCATTCGGCAAGGGAATGCAACCCAGATGTGTGCAGACCCCAACAACTATTAACCACTCTGGATTCTTAACCCTTGCCGCATCCTCTTGTGGATCACGAAGAGACCCTACATCAACACTGTTTGCCACCTTGATATCTTCCTCGGTTCGGCGTCTGATGAAGACTGGCTTTCCACGCCACTTAACAGTTACAGTGCTGCCAGGTTCAATGCTGGAGAGATCAACCTCAAGAGAAGCCAGTGCAAGAACATCCTTACTAGCTGACATGCTCAGCACAAACTTGAGGATAAGCAGACGGATAAGAGATGCATACACAAACCTACCACCTGTCAGGACAAAGTAGGCAAACGCCCTCTTGCTAGGGTCACCTGGAGGAAAACGTTCGTGGTTGTATTCATCATAAACAATTTTAGAACTGGGGTTCTTAATAGCTGCCACTGTTGGAGGAACATCAGGAATTACACTGCTTTCACTTCTTGGGGTGAGGGACTCAGAAGCAAAACCTAAAGAAAACATTACAAATTGTATCTTAGAGAATAAAAAAATGAGAAAAAAAGAAAAGAAAAACCTTTTTCCACATTTCGGTATTTGAATTTCAGGAAAGGAAGAATATTGCATCGCAAATATCATTTCATGAATGTGGAATTGGAAATGTAAAGGATTGTCCCATACAACCACAATTTGGGTTAAGAAAACCTAGAATCGAGCCTCCATTGCAAGGCTTTTTAAATATTGGTTCTCAAAGGGCAAACAGTGGTTTCATAATCAGTAGGTTTCACTTCTCACTGCTCATCCGTAAGAAATGATTAGAACCACTTTCAGAAACTATTTTTATGACTTCAAACAAAAAAAGAAAAGCTAGCCACCGAGGATCAACAGAAAATATCAAGCATTATTCTAGTACATTGAAAGATGCTCTAAAAGAGGTCTCTCTCGCATAACTTCTAAAGAACACTACAGCTAATGAATCCTCTGTTGCTCAAAGGCATGTTAAGCTGATTGAGTATACTCACTCTTAACGAGGATCATACGCAGTAGATGAAAGCGAACAAACCCATAGCTACCAAATTAGATCAACAAAGACACCTTCAGATCTCTTTCTATTTTTTTCACACAGGTGCCTTGCCCCAAACATCAAATTCTTTTTTCACCTTAAAAAGGGTGTTTAATCAGCTAAATCTATAACCTTCAAGACCGTATTCTGATCCAAGTGTACTACAATTTAACTAATTTGAGTGTTTTGCTAAATTCTATAAGAAATGCAAGTAACTTTGATTATTCGCACAACCAAATCAATAGGATAAACAAAAGTAAGAAACAGCAGTCAAAATGGTGCAAAACAAAGTCTTAAAGTTCATCACTTAGAATTGGAATATGAATACAGTATTATAATGAAAACCTAACAGATAATATTATTTGTTATGACTACCATAGAAGGATGAAAAACTGAAACAAAGAGGAGAAATTGATAGGCAAAAGGAAACCCTAATCTCTGATGGAGAATTTGATAGGCAGAAGGAAACCCTAAATGAGTATAGAAGACAGCTTTCAATCTCCTTCTGTTGTCTATAACATAAGCATGTTTCCCCAAAAATCAAATTCCCTTTTCACCTTAAAAAAGGGTGTCGTAATTAGCAAAATCTATAACATTTAAGACCATATATTGATCCAAATGTACTATATCCTAAATTCCATAAGAGATGCAAGTAACTTTGATTATTCACATATCCAAATCAATAACATAAACAAAAGTAAGAAACAAAAATTCAAAACGATGCAAAATAAAGCAGGTACTAGTCTAAAAATTTCATCATTAGAATGTGAAGGATGGAAAACTGGAACGACAAGAGAAAATTGATAGGAAAAGGAAACCCTAAGCTTTGGAGAGAAGAAGGAAATCAGGAGTGAAAGACACCTTTCAATCTTTTTTCTGTTGGTCACATAGGAGCCTTACCCCAAACATCAAAAAAAAATCACCTAAGAAAATGGATGTCTAACTAAATCTGTAACCTTTAAGACCACATTTTAATCCAATCATACCATAGTTTAAACTAATTTGAGCGTTTTTTCAAATTCCATAAGAGATGCAAGTAATTTTGATTATTCACATATCCAAATCAATAAGATAAACAAAAGTAAGAAACAAAAATCAAAATGATGTAAGATAAAACGTGTACTAATCTTAAAGTTCATAATAAGAATTCGAATATTATAGCGTATGTCGGTAACATAACAAAAACCTAACCAATAATAGAATTTGTCATGAACCGCCATAGAAGCAAGAAAAATTAAACCAAAGGGAACTATTATTATGACAGGAAAAAGGAATCTCTAACCTCTGGAGGGAAGAAGGGAGTGAGAAGCGAGAGAGAAGGAGGAGGTGGATCTGAGACCATCAGAAGAATCGGCGCCGTCGATGGAAGGACGAGCGGCGATTGCCGAGGTGGCCTGTTGAGGCCTCCACGCAGACGGACAAGAGGCGAGCCTCCTCGTTGCTGCTCTCAGCATCTTCAATTCGATTGGGTTCACAGCGAGAGAGAGAGAGAGACAGAGCTTTCTTCGTTTATTTTTCTTGCCTTTAAGATTCTTCCTATTCGCTGGGGACATCGAGCTGCATAGCTTCATATACGAATACAGTTAATTGCGACTAGAATCCCTAAACTATGTTATTCATTCCAAACTAGTCACTAAAATTTAAAACACTATATTTACCCTCAAATTATAACCCTTCCATTAATCTAATATTAATTTTACCATTAATAATATGTGTTAAATATTTAATTGGTTAATAAATAGTAAACCTTAATCGATGTTCCTAAACCCTTTTGAGTTAAATATATTTAATGAAATTAAATTTCTATTTAATTTTGATATGTATCACAATTTACTAATTATTCTAGTGATTTAATAAAATATCTTATTTTTAATTGTGGTACATTGTTCTTACCTTATAAGGTTAATTTTTTAAATTTACTGTTGGGATAAGTTCAGATTTAGGATGATAATCTCCGACCCAGTTTTAGTATAATTATATTTTATATATTTAAAGATAATTACAATAATACTTCTTTTTCTTTTTTAATTAGATCCCTATTTTACATAATAAAAATAATATATATATTTGTGTTGTATCGTATAAGATTAGGTTCATATTTTCATCTAAAAAATCAGATCAATTTTCGAGTCGGGTGGAGTCTCCTTAAATCTGGATTGAGTAACGGATGGAGAGATAAAATGTTTGAACTAATAAAAAAACTCGGTCCGATCCGACCTATACTTATCCCTAATTATATGATGCAAGGGTAAAACTTAAGAAATTATTTTCCTAGTAAACGATATTATGTTTTTGTTTTTGTAATTAAAGCAAATATATATAATAGAGAGATAAAATACTGTTACACAATGTAAAACTAAACTTTTTAGTTTTACATAAATTTAGGATCGTTAGATGAGTGAAAATAGATGACTTAGGGGTTGTTTGTTTGTCTCTTAATGGAACCATTCAACGCTGAATTCAACGCGTTTGTTTCGCACATCTGAATGATTCAGTGCTGACTGATTCAACAAAACAATGCTGAATGATTCCGCACATAAGTACATTCTGAATGATTCAGAGCCATTATCAAACAACATGTCACATTCTGAGCTAATTCATACAGAGCCTCTGAATCATTCAGCATTTGAATCATTCAGCGCTTAATCATCTGAAGTAAACAAACAACGCCTTAGATTAATGGTAGGAGATGAGAAGATATTCGCTAAAGAAAAAAAAAACAAGAAGTCAATTTCAATCATCCAATGATCCTGAATCTGTTGTAAGTGGATCCTAAACCCCTCTTTCTCTATCTATATATATTTCATAATATCAAAGAAATCCTGAATTGGCATCTCAAATCAATGCATTAGTGTGAGCATATGATGATAGTAAGATTTTTGAAAAGGATGGTATTTAAGTCAATATCTCAAAATTTATGAACATAATCTTATAAAATACTGCATAAACAATACGATCTTACAAAACAGTGAACATAATCAGTGGATGAAAGCAGAAGAAAACGAGCTTAAAGTCCGAGTTCATCAAATAATAAAATGTTCCTTATTTTGAAAAGTTATGAACATAATCCGTCCAGCTGCAAAATATTAGGAACCGTAAATACTACAAAAAGAACACAATCATAGTGAACAAATATATCCTGAAATGGTTATAAATCACAATCATTTATGGCCTGGATTAAGTTGACTGATATTCAAAGAAAAATATTAAAGACTCCAGCTAATAGGATAATAGATTCAATATTTTGAATCCACTATAAATTACCAGTTATGATTTATGTTTGATTCATACACAAACAAAGAGAAAAAGAATGAGAAAATCTAGTTTCTTGTTGTTTCTTCACATTTCTGTCATCCTCATGCTTTGCATGAGCCTTTCTTCTGGTGCTGTAGAGGAAGATAGAAAGGTAAGTATTTTCTTTTTCTTTTATGTCTTTCAAGTGAATTTCTTATTATTTGAATGAAAGGAAGTTTGCGCCTAGCATAAAATCTTGGGTCCGTCCATGTTTTAAACGTTTTCCTGAAGCTGGTTCATAAATTATAACAACGTGTGATGATGCAGGTTTACATTGCATACTTGGGATCACTCCCCGATGGAGACTACAGTCCATCATCCCATCATTTCAGTATACTTCAATCACTTCTTAAACAGAGGTAGGACTAAAGGGTTTTGATCAGATAAAGCAAATTTTATTCTTCTTATTGCTGTTGTTGTTGTTGATTGTTTTGCCTGTCTCCAGCTCTGTGGAAAATTACATAACCAGAAGTTACAGAAGGAGCTTCAATGGGTTTGCTGCGAAGCTCACTGATGAAGAGGCAAAGAAACTTGCAAGTAAGTGGTGTAAAAGCTCCTTCTTTTTTCATTCAATTGCATTGCCTTGATGGTACATTTTCACCACTTCCAAATATGCAGGCTTTAAAGGAGTGGTTTCGGTTTTTCCGAATAAAGTTTATCAACTTCAAACAACAAGATCATGGGATTCATGGGATTCAATCAAACTGTTAAACGCAATGCTACAGCTGAGAGCAATGTAATTATCGGTGTCCTCGATACCGGAATCTGGCCTGAGTCGGATAGCTTCAGTGATGAAGGCTTCGGTCCTCCTCCCAAGAAGTGGAAGGGATCTTGTAACGGTGGCCTCAACTTCACTTGTAACAAGTAAACAGAGTTCGTTATTTGTAATTCCTCTCTTATACTTGTAGTTTACTAACGAAAATCAGTACTTATCTTACAGTAAGCTTATTGGAGCTCGAACTTACGAGACGGATTCTGCAAGGGATACAGAGGGTCATGGATCGCATACAGCGTCAACGGCAGCCGGAAACATCGTAGGCAATGCTAATTTCTTTGGACTTGCTGAAGGCACTGCAAGAGGAGGAGTTCCATCAGCAAGGATAGCTGCATATAAAGTTTGCGGTGCTGACGGGTGTACTGCAGAAAACATCTTGGGAGGCTTTGATGATGCTATTGCTGATGGAGTTGATATTTTAACAGTTTCATTAGGATCGGATCCATCCGATTTTATTCGGACCCTGTAGCCGTTGGTGCTTATCATGCAGCTGAGAAAGGCATTCTTGTCATGCAATCTGCAGGCAATAGTGGTGCATCAGGGCTACAATCGGTTTCGAGTGTAGCACCATGGATACTTTCTGTTGCTGCAAGCACAACTGATCGTCTTTTCATCGGCAATGTTGTTCTTGGAAATGGGAAGACACTAACCGTAAGAACCATTCTGCTCCATATTTATTAATATCATACTTTCTATTTCATATCTATTATATCATGGTTTGCTCTCAAGCAGGGATTTTCAGTAAACTCTTTCAGTCTTAATGGAACAAAGGTTCCGCTGGTTTATGGATTACAAGCATCAAGTGGGTGCGATGAGGCCAGTGCTCGGTTGGTTCCATTGACATGCTGCATTTTCATTTACAAAGATTTAGAATTAGCAAAATGATTGATATTTGGTGGTGTTTTTTCCAGGGCATGCTCTGATGGTTGCTTGAGCAGTACTCTGGTAGAGAATAAGATTGTTGTATGTGACAACTTCAGAGGTCTAACGGAAGCTCGTCGTTCCGGTGCTTTAGGATCGATTCTAGAAACTTTATTTGATAATGTTTCATTTGTTGTTCCATTTCCTGCTTCAGCTTTAAGCATTGAGCACTTTCATTCATTCGAGTCCTATCTGAACTCAACCGAGTATGTAAATTTCCCTTTACAGTGACATGTTATGCGAATCGAAACTGATTCCTTTCATCTTTGTGTCACAGAAAAGCTGTAGCAGAAATATTAAAAAGTGAAACAATTGAAGATTCTACTGCTCCTGTAGTTGCTGCATTCTCTTCAAGGGGACCTAGTGTTATTGTACCAGACATTCTGAAGGCATGTATTTTTCCTATAAGCCAACAGTTATCTCTTGAAAACTTCGATTTTTAAAGCCTTTTTCCCCTTAATGCAATGTAATGCAGCCTGATATAAGTGCACCAGGAGTGGATATATTGGCTGCATTTTCACCAGTTGCTGCACCATCGTCGACCGGAATTGATGAAAGGCATGTTAAATACAATATAATGTCGGGAACCTCCATGTCCTGCCCTCATGTTGCTGCTCTGGCTGCATATGTAAAAACATTTCACCCTCATTGGTCTCCCTCTGCCATCAAATCTGCTCTTATGACCACCGGTAATCTTTCAATCCATCAAACTCGACTTTTATTAGCTTGTTGTTTTGATCTCACTGTCTTGTTTTCAACAGCATCGCCAATGGATCCGTCAAAAAATCCAGACGCCGAATTCAGTTATGGATCCGGACATGTCAATCCTGTGAAAGCCATCAATCCTGGACTTGTATACGACAATGTTGAAGGCGAAAGCTTAAGGTTCCTGTGTAGTCTTGGATACGATGAAGAAAAGATCAGAGCAGTAACAGGAACTAACGTCTCCTGCCCTAAAACCTCTAACAAAGTGCTGCCAAGAGACTTCAATTATCCTACACTTTCAGCTCAAGTTAAACCAGGTGAATCATTTACAGTCCATTTCCCAAGAACAGTCACAAATGTTGGCGTAGCAACATCTACTTACAATGCAACAATCTTTTCCGACTCAAAGCTCGAAATCGAAGTGATTCCAAAAATTCTATCGTTCGAGTCTTTGACGGAGAAGAAGACATACAATGTGACTGTTAAGGGAAAAGCTTTGAGTGAACAATCAATGGTATCTGGATCGTTGAGATGGTCAGATGGAATTCATATGGTTAGAAGTCCAATTGTTATTCATTCGTACGAAGGTTTGTCTAAGGCTGTATAAATCTCATGGCTGAACCGGCAACTCATATTAGTTGCTTCCGCTTCACGTTAGTCAAGTTCTTGCATTCTATTAATAATGTAATTTACATTTCTGAGTCCTAAAAGTTTCTGTATCTATTTGCAAGAAGTATAAAAGGATGTAAATTCAAATTATATGGAAATAAATTGATTTTTCATTATGATCTGTGTAATAGTGTGTATTAATAATGTAAATTTTAAGGCATTCCACACCCTTTGGATAAAGCCTCCCGAAAAATGACAAAAGCAAAGCCAGATATTTATTTCATGCATCAAATATCATAAACCCTTCCCTATAAAATTCAATACCCTCTCTCACTCAAATTCACTCCAACACCTTAATTTCACATATACACTCATTATCCAAAACATTCCAAAATGCAAGCAGCAGCAGCAGCAGCTCTCAGCATTGACCCTATTCCTACTCTCTCTCCCTCCAAAGCATTGACCCTAAGGCTTGGCTGCTCCACTGCTTCCCGTGGCCGCCGCCTTTCGATCAAAGTAACCGCCACCACCTACGACACTTCCATTGTTGACTACAGCTTTATGCTCTCGTAAGCCTCTATTTTTTTATACTTTAGCATAATAAGCGAACATAAATGAACAGAATATGCACGATTCACGAATAGTTCATTGAACACTCTGTTCATTTATATCCCTAAACTGGATACAATCAAGATCACAGCTTGAAAGATAAGTTTTGTTTTTCATTTGACACAAAAAAGAGCTTTAATCGATGCCTTAAGTGTGTTTCCAGCAGAGGCGTGTGAGACAATAGGTGGAGATGCATGTGCTGCAGACATATACCCTGAAGTGAGGCTACAACAAGAGGCCAGAACCAACTCTCCTAGGACCACAACCGAGTCAGTATGCAGAGAATATATTGAATACAATGATGCAAAAACGTATTAATTGTTTGCTCAATAAGTTAATCAAATCTCTGTTTTATACATTTGTATACATATATAATAACTCCTACCATTTTTCTGACCAATGGTTTCATATCGTTTGCGCTTGTTCCGCATACGTACATGCAGGGTTTTCTGCGCTGAGGCTTGTGATGATCTGGGTGGAGAATTCTGTAGCCGAGAGTATCAAAGGGGAGTGTATTAGAAGCTATTGACCTAGTCACCAGGATCCTCTGCAGCTTTGAGCATTGGAGATATATATGTATGTATATACAAGTGTATAACTACATATAAACTTCCATAATTATATATCATAGTTTCGATTTGGAGAAGAAGACAAGTAAAAGTTTATGGTATTTCCAAACAGCTTTACATAATAATGATAACAAGAATGTATATTACTTGGTTTGGCTGTAAACAGACTAATTCTGTTACGAGAAATCAGTGTCTTCATAGTAAATTTTGCATCGATACACGTGTTTCTAATTCGGGAGCACCAACTATCCAATTCAGAAAAGCTAACGAGCCAATTCGGTAAAACTAACGAATAAATGTATCCTATCGAATTGAACGGGGACAACCAGAATCATCAAAGTTCATGGCTGTGGTGGCGGAGGCAATATCATTGCTATTGATTACCTAGGAGGTGGATTGAGATTGTTGGTGTTTTTTGTTTGTAAGTTAGGCTGCCGAATCCTTTATCAAGGCGTCCGAAATCAACTGTGCGAGCCATGACGGTTGAGAAAGTGGCAGTTTAAACGCTAAAAAATGGGACTTTTGGAGGAAATGGGGTTTAAGTAAAGCCCATTGGAAGAGCATTGGATAGTGTGTTTGGTTAAATTAGTTACCAATTTTGTTCATTCCACAGGACAGGCAGCAACCAATATGAAAGAACAAAAGGAAAAGGAGGCATAAAGTAAGGAGATTATTATTTCTAAAAGCTGAAATTACTCAAGAAAAACTGCAAACAAGATTCTTGTACTTAACAAATAAAAGCAAAGTAATTAACATTATCAACTAATGATGCTTTGCTTGCGCCACCTACAAATGTTCGACTTGAAAATCGGTCCTTCACCGATGGGATGCTGGAGCAAATTGAGTCTATAAATTACCCCCAAGGTATAAGACAAACTATTCAAGTCACATTATACCATGGAAACCAGCTGAATCCAGAAGCACTGCTTTGATTTGCTCAGGCATTAAATCCTGCCCTTCTCTGCATTGCTGTTGAACAATAAACCAAATAACTAATCAATCTCTCAACCGAAATATATGATGTCACCCCATATAGCAATATTTGATCTAGATAACCATTTCTAATACTAAATGATTGGTTCTTGGTTGTATCCTCCAGTTTTCTATATCATGTTACCTAGGCGACAATCTTTCCTGGGCTTTTATTATTTTGTCGATCGGGTGAATCCCGGCAATGGCTTCAAACTAATCTCAAGGAGTAATTCTTTCAATTATCTAAGATCAATAATTACTAACCGTTAGCATTATATTAGCTTCAGATGGAGGGAGCCGGGACTGGGGGACGGTTTTTAAAAATTTGTGGCAACAAAAGGAAAAAAAGAAGAAAAGAAAAGTGTACGAAAGCATTACCAACCTAGGTCCCACTATAACCAGGACTCTTGCATCAATCCATGTGCAAAACAGTACATGAGTCAGTATCCTATACAGAAGGACAATAAGAGAGTTGAGCCTTCAACCTTAGGGGTCTCGGCTCATGGTCTATAGCATTATTTGAACTTTCCTTTTACCTAAACCAGCTACAATTTAAACTACATCCAAACTGGCAAAATATAAAGGTTCATTCCTTTGTTGTTGCTGTTGTTGTTGTAAGAGTTGAACACGAGAAATAACTCTATTTAGGGATTCAGTTTAACAGTGGAATTGGCTTGGCTTGGAAAGAAGCCACACACTCATTATATGAGAAGAGCGTATATAATCTGTTGAATAGACACACACTAAAATTGATCTTTAAACGGAAATCACCAAAAGCATATGAAGCCAAGAAGAGAAGAAGAAATGCACCTCAGCCCGGAACACATCCAGTGCAAATCCATTGAAACAACTAATTACAGCTTGCTGTACATCCATCCAAGGTTGTCTAGAGCTCGCATAATGGAGAGCAAGAGACCTGGCCTGCGAGCACAAAACATGTGAATGTTGACAGCCCTTCCTTCCCTTACCCTAACCTCCACCTGGAAATTGCAGATGCGTTAGGAGTTATTGCTCAAAACATTTACGGAAAAAACATGTTACATTGACACATCCTGGTGAAAGTTTAGACAAGCATATGTCTGTTCAAATGAATATAAATCACTAAAACTTTTGGGAAAGAACAAATATCTATCTTCAGTTATTCATTATTCAAATCAAAGAAGCTCTTCCATGAAGGCTGCGGATTGCAGCAGATGACATGAACAGTATAGTATTCTAATATTATGATGATATCAATCAACAAATTCAGAACCTAACAAGTGAATTAAAGGTTTAACAGGGCACTATTAACTTTATGTAACATGCTGGCTCAATGTATAACTTATTTGTCTTGGTGATATCATGCAAGTAACTATCAGGAAAGAACATACAAGCATCCATATTTTGCTCCTTTCACCCTAAATTTTTTCAAATTTATCATACATGTCAATTGTTTTGCCTAGTAGGGCAAAAGACTTGTACACAAATAGAAACTAAGAACATAAAGCAAACAATAGGAAAAAAATAAATGAACTTTTTAGGTCCAAAAGTTTACCTTTGCTGGTTGGCTTTTAGAGCTTGCGAACGAGTTGGGGCATAGTTCTTCCTTCACACGACATGGAAGTGTAGGTGGGGTCGGAGTCACCGGTTTGAAACTTGTGATGGCATCAAGAGCCAGATGGAACAGATTCAAGTTCAGTATGGAGATCATTAATCTTTTGCAGAAGCTCCTTCAAATAATCAATGGCATCCCCTAGTATCGAAGCCCTATCCATCTGTGACATGATAAGCACAATGAGTAGCCGCCATGGATATATAAGTTACAATTATAGGAACACCAAAATTACCCTAAACAAATTTCAACCACAATCACTCAACAGACAAGAAGTAATATCAAAAGAAAAGGGGAAAAACAAAAACTCAAATTAACAAGCATGTTCTCAAACTAGCTATAGCATTCACTTCAAGAGACAAGACCAAATGACACATATCAAGATTACTTTGTATCACAAAAGAATATGCTAGTCTATAATAATCAAATGCCTTGACCTTGAGAACTTTCAAAGATAATATACCTTGCTAATCTTGGGCACAACAGACCTAAGCATGTAAAGCCTGTCATTGAGCTTCTTCCTCCTCCGTCTCTCCGCCATCAAATTTTTCGCCGGCAACCCTTTCTTCTTCCCCTTCTGATCCCCACCGCCGGTAACAGTACTAGTTGCATTTGAGTTGCAACCACCATTGTTCACAGTCTCCTCCACTTTGCAATCATCATTCCTCTCATCAGAGTCATAATTCAAGCCCGACATATCGATGCTGGCTTCCTCAATATCCCCCTCTTCATGCCTCTTCCTCTTTCCCTCCGACGCTTCCCCTCCGAATCTCAGCCCCGAAACATCCAAGCTCCCCAATTTATCAGATCCACTAGATCCCTGACGCATCGCAGCTCGCTTCTGAAACAGATTCGGTTGAGAACCAACGGAAGGGAAAACTTCAAGGGGCTTCAAAACCTTTCCCCTGTTCATAAGCAGTGGATTTCCCGACCCGTCGAAAGCACCGCCGCTAAACCCACCGCTCAAAGAAGAAGCATTCTCGGTTCCAGCGAACAATCTCGTACCTTGAAATTCGGAGCTCGAGCTGAACTCTGGAGTACCCATTTGAGCCTGGGGGAAAACCATCAAATTCGAGGCTACATTCGGCTGAAACTGAGCGAGAAAAACCGATTCGGAACCGAAATCAAAGGCATTATCAAAAGGGTTGTTGCAGGAGACATTGAGGAGAGAAGAGAAGCAAGATTTAGGAGGCAACAAAGGGTGAGACTGTGAAGGGTCAAGCGTGAAGGCCTGTGAGGGAGTACAAGAAGAAGATGAATAAATCGAGTGGTGAAGAAGGAGATTGTTGTTATCAACCTGGTTAGAACCAAACCCAAGCTCCCTGATTTGAAGCTCCTGGTTCATAGCAGGATTAGTGTACCAATCACCATCGAGCATGGACTTGAAACTCGAAATAGAAGCAGCCGACATAGCCAACTCATCTTCCTTAGCCTCGAATCCGTTACTGGTAACATTATTGTTGTTATCGTTGTTGGTTCGAGTCCAAGAAGAAATTGCACCTTCTTCTTCCTCTTCACCGCCCATCCAAACGACGCCGTTCGCTCCAAGGACCATCTCTTTCACTCTCACTCTCACGAAGCTTTTGTTTTGCTTTTTTTTTTTGTTGGTTTTGGAAGAAAGGCAGTTACAATGAGAGAAAAAGGGAGAGGAAAAGTGAAGAAGCTTTTCTATCAGCAGAGAATCGTAATAATAATTTGGAGAGAGCGAGAGAGAGAGAGCGAGAGAGAGAGAGAGAGAGTGTGTGTTTTTGAAGATTGAACGTTACAAAATGTACTGAAAAACCATTGGCAAATGAAGGGAGAGTGGGACTCGTCTCTTCCATCTCCTTCTGCTTTATCTATTGTTGCGTCTATCATCTCTACGTACACCATGTGTCTGCTGCTACAGTGCAACTTGCTTTGCTGGCTTTTTTTTAACCTAAATATCATCCATTAGAAAATAATATGACATTCATTTTCGATTATTTTTTTAGAATAATATTATTTTATGTCACGTAAATTAAAAGTTTCTGTCCAAAAAAAATAATCGTTTATGGTGGGTTGAAGATATGTAATTATACGAACGTAAATTAGCGATAACGATATTTATATCAGTTATATATTCCATCACTCAATAAATATATATTTAAATATTTTAAAATATTCATATCTAAATAAGGTAAAATTTTAAAAGGTAATATTTATGAAATAATTTAAATTTATTTTTCTTTACTTATTTTTAATTATTTTGATGATGTGTCACAATATCATATATCATATCACTAAACTAAAATATAAAACTTATCAAATTTATGAATTAATGTATATTAAAAGAAACTTTACGTTTTAAATTGAGAGAAAATGATAAATTTAAAGACCAATAAAGTTCAGAGATTAAGGCAAAAAAATGCCAAATACAAGGACTAAACCTTGCTTTATCCTTTTTCATTTGCTGCCCATATTATATTTGGATATCCGTAGTGTGTACAGACGTGTGGGTCGGGTTGGG